CAAGGCACTCTCTCGGGCTGGCAGCTCTGGCTCCATCTCCAAGCGGCTCCTGGCATATGATTGGGAATCTAGGCTGAGGACGCAAAGCAGGCCACTTGCCTACGCGAACCGGGCCATCCCCACCAGCGTCAGGCGGGGTGTGGGGAGGAGATGAAGTCTTTGCTGGTGGCCTCCAGTGTCCCCTGCAGCCTGCCTCCCCCTGGGGGACACCCTCTTCTTTCCACCCAAGAACATTTGCAGTTTCCCAAGGTCAACTGCTCCTGCACCCCAGAGGGTCTGGGAGCAGAACACCTGGGAGGGTGGCTGGCTGAGCCTTCGTGGAGCTGGGGTGGGTGGTAAGGCCCTTGCCCGGCTGGTCCAGAGTTTTCTTTTGAGGAGACACAGCTTCTTCTCTGTGCAGGGAGGTGGGAGACCGTGAAAGAATCCATATAAAGACAAGTGCTGGCGAGGACGCAGAGACAAGGGGACCCTCGTGTACTGCTGGTGGGAATGCAGACTGGTGCAGCCACTGTGGAGAACAGTATGGAGTTTCCTCAAAAAATTAAATATGGAACTGCCATTTGACCCAATGATTCTACTTCTGGGAATATATACACAGAAACTCAAAACACAAATTTGAAAAATAGATGCTAAATATATGCACCCTTATGCTCATTGTAGCGTTATTTACAACAGCCAAGATCTGGAAGCAGCCCAAGTGCCGATCAGTAGACAAATGGATAACAAAGAGGGAAATCTCACCGCTGGCTCCAGCCTGGACGGAGGGTCTACAGGCAGAAAAGCTCGGAGAAAGGAAAGCTCCCATCCCAGGGAGAACCCGCCCGCCGGCTCCGGGTGTCGGGCCTGGAGGGTGTCTTGCTGAGTGAAGTCACTCAGACAGAGAGGAGAAATCCCACAGGGTTTCACTTGTATGTGGAATATAAAGAGAAGAAACGAACAAAACAGAAACAGCCTCACAGACACAGAGAACAGACTGGTAGTTGGAGGGGTGAGAAGGGGAAGGGGTTAGGATGTGCAGATTGGTGCTTACAGAGGACTCACCGGGATGCAAGGTGCCGCCGAGGCCTAGGGAGTACAGCCAATATTACAGTAATGATGGCGTGTGGTGCCAGGTGGGGACTGGAACACTTTGTAAAGTATACGATTGTCTAACCACCATACTGTACACCGAAAACTAATACAAATAATATTGAATGTGGGCTGTAATTGAAAAATAAAAAAATTTTAAAAGTCATTACTGTTCCTGCTAAAAAGTGTTTGTCACAGGCACGGTCTGGTCAGGGGTTTGACTTTCCTTCGCGAGCTGTGTGGCCCAGCTCTCCCCGCAGACCCCGCAGAGGGGTGTGGGTGGAGGCGCGCCCGCGGGGCCCCACACGCAGCTCCCGGGTGGGCACGGCCCCTTCCCCTGCTCCAGTCTCCCTGGTGGGCACTGGGCGGGGCCCTCCTCCCCGCTCTAGGCAGCCACCAGGTCACCCGGTTCCCAGGACCGCAGGCTGGGGCGGCACCGGCTCGGGCGGGGCAGTGTCCACAGGGCCTGGGGAATGACTCGGGCTTTTGTTCTGGAGCGTGTGGCTGGCCGCCGGAGAGTCCCCGAGTGACTCGGGTCCGCTAAAAAGGCTTCATGTTTGGCCTCCCATGACTTGGGCCTGCCTCCTGACCTCGCGTCCTTCCCTCCTGCCTCCCTGCCAGCTTGCGCAGGACACACTGGCCTCTTCCTTTTCCCCAGAGTTTACCTTTTATTTTCATTGAAGTACTACTTGCACAGTGTACGAGTCACACAGCACTACACAGCTGGTAAAAGCCACGGAAGCATGGCCGCTGCCTGCTGACACCCCTGGACTCACAGAGGCTGGACATCCGCTGGGGGTCAGGCTGTTCCAGGCCTGGGAACACGGTGACCCAATGGACCGGGCTGCCTGCATCCACTGCCGACCTCCCAGTGCACCTGCCTCCGCCTGTCAGCTCTTCCTCCCACTTCTCAGCCACGGGCTTACACTCCACTTCCGTTCTTTCTCGTCCACTTCAGTGTCTGGTGGCGTCCTGCTTCCAAGGTGATGATGTAATGCTGTCACACCGGGTCCCCCACTTCTCTTCCCCAAGTGCCCACTCTCATCACCATTCTTGGACACATGGGTGTTTAGTGTTTACAATGTGATGATTATGTAAACATTCCCAGCTGAGCCAGGCAGTACTTTATAACTCCATGTTCCATTTTGTGTTTCTTTCAGGAGTTAATCATTGCCTTGTTTTCTTCTTGCAGCAAGCGGGCCGCCAGGGGTCCTTCAGCCTGGAGACTCCTGGGAGGTGGGGGGGGGGGGGAGGTTAATTCTTCCTTTACAGGCTCTTGGTCCTCATGCGCCCCCGCCCCTCTCGGGCTGTGCTCCCGTCTGGGGTTGGGCTACACACTGCCCCTCCCTGCACACTGAGCTCACCTTCCTCTTCTCTGCTCAGTTGGTAACATTTTTCTATTTATTTTCCAGCTTTAAAATTTTTGTAGATTCCTCTTGTCCCTGTCATTGACTTTCCTACTCTTTTTGCCCTTGCGAGACTGCCTTCCTGTTTTGAAATGTTACTGTCATTTTAGTGGGGACTTGGGAGGGAAGGGAGACAAATGCCCCTGCTCAGGTGGTGGTGACCAGAAGTCCCTGCACCTCCTCCCTGAGGACCTCTGTGTGTCAGGGTGTTTTAAGTCAGGCCCTGCCCCCAGGTCCACATGGCTTCTCTTGTCACTTATGTCTGAGCTCAGAGGACACTTCCTCCAGGAAGGCCTCCTTGACCACCCTGCCTGATGGAGCCATCCCAGTGCCCCTGCCACATCTCCCTGCTTGACTTTTGTTCGTAGCCTGATCTCTACCTGAAATTACTTTATATATTTACTTTCACTGACGTATTTGCCTTTTTCTCAATCTCCCCCAGAAGACTTGCTCCATGAAGGCAGGGACCTTGTACCCTTAGCACTTAATTCAGGGTCAAGTAAAAATACATGCTCAAGAGTTTATGTTGCCGGAACCGGTTTGGCTCAGTGGATGGAGCGTCGGCTTGCGGACTGAGGGGTCCCGGGTTCGATTCCGGTCAGGGGCATGTACCTGGGTTGCGGACACATCCCCAGTGGGAGGTGTGCGGGAGGCAGCTGATTGATGTTTCTCTCTCATCGATGTTTCTAACTCTCTATCTCTCTCCCTTCCTCTCTGTAAAAAATCAATAAAATATATTAAAAAAAAAAAAGAGTTTATGTTGAAGGGCTGGATTGAATTTGAGTTTGGGATCTCTAAGAGACAAACTTCAGCAGAACTTAAGGAAGAAGCTGGTAATGGTCAGAGTTTCCTGAAAATGGAAGACACTGCCAGTGAGAGGGTGAGACCCTCATCATGGGAGGGCTGTAAGCCCAGGCTTGGGAACAGCTGAAGGGAACAAAGCCCGGGGGCCTGGCTCAGTGGTTGAGCATCGACCTATGAACCAGGAGGTCACGGTTCAATTCCTGGTCAGGGCCCAGGCCCGGGTTTCAGGCTCGATCCCCAGTGTGGGGCATGCAGGAGGCAGCTGATCAGTGATTCTCTCTCATCATTGACGTTTCTCTCTCTCCTTTCCTCTCTGAAATCAATGAAGTATATTTTTTAAGAAAAGAAAGGGAAGAGAAACACTGATAAAAATGGAAGTGATGATTTCCAAGGCGTGGCTGAGACAAGTGTTGGCTCAAGGTCACTTGGCTCCTTCTTGGGGAGCCAGGACTCCCCTCAGATCTGAAAGCAGCCTGAGCAGCTGATACTGGGCTGCACCCAGGTCGTGGAGTCGGCCTGACCCACATGCAGGTCCACCCTCCTCTCCCCGGTCTATGATCTTGTCTCTGGGTGTACAGCACTTCCCCCCAACAACTCGGAGGCCCTGAATCCCAGGGAACCAGCGGGAGCCTCCCAGCCGATGCCCGCCATGCAGGAGGCTACTCCGATGACCTGCGTTAAGAGCCCGACTCCATCCCTCCCGGCAGTGGGCCTGTCTGAAACCTCGGGCCTCGGTTTTGTCTCTGAGATGAAGGTACAGCCACACCAGCCTCATCAGCTCACGTCAAGTCTCAGGCTCAGAGGGCAGCAGGTGTCAATCAATGCCTGGGCAGGAAGTGCCACGCGAGAGGACCAGGGAAGGCAGGCAGCCTCTGAGCCAGGCTCTTGGGGTACGGCTCTGCAGGATGGGGGCAGAGCAGGCCCGAGGGCTCCGTCAAGATCCAGCAGCGTGGCATCTCTCCAGAAAGCAGCTGTGTTTTGCTCTGCAGAAGACAAGCTTGTGTCGGAAAAGGAAGGGACACTGTCTCATCTGACAATTCCAACAACAGCTCTGCCATTGCCGTGGCTCTGCACCGCCCGAGCCTCAGTTTCCCCATCCTTTCTCACCTTCCTCCAAGGCACAGTTGTTCCCTGAGTGCCTGCCGTGTGCGGGGAACCTCAGTGATCAAAGCAAAGCCAGTGCCCCGTGCGGCTGGCCCTGGAGCGAGTCCCTGCGATGCTTGCTTCGAGGATTAGCACGGAGTAGCGGCTCTAACAACGGTACTTGCTGTTTTGCTGGTGGAGCCGTCTAACGTGTATGGATCCTCCTTGGATACTCCAAGTTCCTCCTCTTTGTGCTGTGACTTCAGAGCCTGACCCTGAGTCAGAGGCTCCTGCCTCCCTCCAACTGTTCAAGGGCTTCCTCCTGCCCCAGAGAACTGCCTCCAGCCCCTGCTGCTGGGCCACAGGGACCAGCCCCACCCTGCGTTGGGGCAGCATAAGTGTGACGGAGAGGCAGGTGGGGGTGCGACCACTGGCCGAGCTGGGGTTCCTGATGAGAGGGGCTGGGTGGGGCCTGGGGGTGTTCCACAGAATCTCCCTTCCTGGTTTCAAAGCTGGTCTTTTTTTTTTTTTTTTTAAATCCTTACCCAAGGACATGTTCATTGACATTTAGAGAGAGGGGATGAGAGAGAGAGAGAGAGAGAGAGAGAGAGAGAGAGAGAGAGACCGATCAGTTGCCTCCTGCACATGCCCTGACTAGGGCCAGGGATTGAACCTGCAACCTAGGTATGTGTCCTGACTGGGAATCGAACCTGTGACCTTTTGGTATGTGCAATGACACTCCAACCAACTGAGCCCCACTGACCAGGCAAAGCTGGTCCTTCGTGAAGGGGGTAGGAATGAGTCAGGTGGAGAATGCAAGGAAGCACATCCCCAGCTGCGGGAACAGCCTTTGCAAAGGTGCCGGGCGTAGAGCTGGCGTTGGGATGCTGGGCTGGGGAGACGCCTGGCGGTTGTTCCCCACTTAGGGAGCCTCAGCACGTCCTGGAGTCGCAGCCCTGGATGCAGAAAGCTCTGTCTGGCCGCATGTGGAGGGCCTGGGGCCAGGAAGCCCTGAGGAGAGGAGGGAGGTCCCTGACGCTGCCCAGAGCTCCCACAGCGTGGCCAGCACCACGCCACAACTGGCCACCAGAGGGCGCTGTGGGTCAGCAGGCCGGGGAGACCTCGGCTTCAGGAAGGTGGGAAGGAAGGCGCAGCTGTGCCTGTGGACTGTCTGCGATGTACCTGAGCAGGTGTGGCACTCCCCGTGCCTGCACGTGGCTGTGTGGACGTAGGTTTACAGGGGTCCGTGGGGCTGGGACTATGCCAAGGTGTGTGAATAAGCAAGAGAGCACAGAGGTGAGAGCAGGGGCCCCAGCATCTCCCACTCCTGCAGCCGCACTGTCGTTCCCCTACAGGCCATCCATCTCAGGCGTGTGCTCCCCAGACATCCTCAGGGCTCCTCCGCAGGTTCAGGCTCAGCCTCCCTCCCAGGGAGGCGTTTTAGACCTCCCTCTTTAAAGTTACAGGCCCCGCCCCACCCATCCATGTCCCTGTCTCCATCCATATTCCTTTCCCTCCTTTTCTCCATAGGAATTATCATCCTCTGGCAGACTGCTTGCACTTGGGCATTTTGCTGGGGCTCACCCACTAGTCCGTCACCTCCGGAGGGCTGGGAGTTGTGTCTATCTAGTTCAGTGTTGTGCCCTCGTACTAGGCACACAGTACGTGCTCAATAAATAGTTGTTCAATGAATGAATGAGCTTCCCCGATCCTGGGTTCAGGCCACCCTCTCTCCAGCCCTCTGTCACCCCAGGTCCTGCCCCTCAGCTCACACCCACATCAATGCTTGGTTACACCCTCCCTTTCCTCCCACGCCTCAGTTCCCTGGAGTCTGCAGAGAGGGGTGTTTGGGACTTTTCTTCTCAGAATCAGGGTAAGAGCAGCTGTTGTGACCGTCAAATGCCCTCTTGGTTTCTGAATGGCGGTGGGGTCCCCCGGCCTCACTGTACTACTTCCAGGCAGAGGGCGGCTGGCAGATATTGCTGCAGTAGCTGAGAAACAGCTCTCCTGTGGTGCTCCCCACTGGCCCTCCTGTGCGGCCCCTTTCGTACCTACAACCCTTTCTAGGGAGACTCTAGCTTCTTTGCCTGAGAAGCTCCTACAGATCCTTCAAGGTCTAGTCTTAAAGTCCCCTCCTCTGAGGAGCCTTCCCTGACCTCACCCAGGTGGAGTCTGGCGTCTTCCTGGGACTCTTGCTCATGCATCTATTTATAACACCCTCATGGAGTTTTGTAATTCTTGGGCTGTCTGTCCGGCTCCCTGACTAACCTTGTCAATGTCTCCAACTGGAGGGCCTGTCTGAGTCATATGGGTGCCTGGGAGGTCAGCATGGGCCTCGAGGCATTTCATCGATATCTGTGGCATGTTTCCGTCCTTCCTTTGTTTATTCCTCAAATATTTATTAGACACCTTCCATGTGCTCGGCCCTGGGCTGTGCATCAGGAAAACCGCAGAGAATGAGTTGGCAAGATTCCTGCCCAGGAGGGGCCCACAGCGCAGCGGGAGAGAGACTGGCGCACGGTGCCGTGCGGAGAATTAACGCTGATCTGGGGAGTGACTAGGAAGGCCCGTAGGAGAAGGCCTGCAGGATGGCAGGGAACCAGCCCCAGGAGTGACGATGAGAGAGGGTCGGGGAAGATGTTCCAGCAGAGGGGACAGCTTGCAGGGGTGGCGGCCCTGCATCAGGACCTGGATTGGTATGTGCAAGGGGCAGCAGGAAGGCCCAGGAGCAGAAGGCAGGGGAACGTGGCAGGAGTGGGAGTCCGACTGGCCGGCAGGACCTGAACCCAGAAAGCCCACCGGGCCCAGCTGGCAGTCCTGCCAGGGGAGCTGCTCCTGGTGCCCACCTTCAGATGGAGAAGCAGCAGGTCCTGAGAGGAAGCGAAGGCCCAAGGCCGCAGAGCCCATTCGGACGGAGTGCTCTGGGCCACTCTAGACACCAGCAGTGGGAAGGCCAGCATGGCTTCCTGCAGGAGGCGGCCCGCAGTGTTTACAAACATTTCCTGGGCAGTTAGTGAGGGCCCGGCTGTGAGCCAGCAATTCCTCAGCCCGAGCTCAGGAACCCCTTCCAGAGAGGCCTCCTTGTCCCACGGGGCGGCACGGAGCTGCTCAGTGACTTCCCGTGAGTGGCCGAGTTGACACTGGAACCCATACCTGTCTGCATCCATAGCTCATGGTTTTCCACCCACTTCCTGGAAAGGGTAAGCAAGGGACACAGGAAGAGAAGGATAATTATAAGGTCTCCCCCTTATCTTATCTGGCCCTCCCCATCACTGTACTGGTGGGGTGGGGCCTGCAGGGATCACCCCTGTTTTACAAAGGGGCAAGCAGAGGTCAGCACCCCTGCTCCAAGCGTTTCCAGCGGGCGTTGGAATTTGCTTCCATCACGTGAGGTCCCTGGCAGGCCACACACGCATGCCTGCCCTAGGCACAGGGCTGGCCTCCTGACCTTTGCCAGGTGCTTCCTGCCCTCACTAGCCTGTAGCCTTCCATCTAGTCACCTGATCCTAGCACCGGACTGATCATCGGAGAGGACTGGCCCACCTGGCCATTACCCAGAGGAGCTGATGAGGCCCCAAGAGGAGAGGAGAGAACCAAAGGCCAGGGACAGCCAGGATGAGACCCTTTTCAAGGCTTGCTGAGTGGAGTCAAATACACTGAAATGCCATCTTACTCTCAGACTCAGTTTCCCCATGTGTAGAATGTGGGACAGCAGCGACGCAACCGTGAACAAAGATACATCTATCGGCTTCTTACGAGGTCCCACCGAGTTCACGCTGCATCCCCGCGGCTCACAGCGCCGTGCAGAGCAGGTCCTGGCGGACGTTTGAAGCGGGAGTGGGTGCCGCCTGCCGTGCCGGGTTTGTGTCAAACACGTACAAGTGTCCTGGGGAGCCCAGTGCCGTTCTCATCCGAAGCGCCAGGAGGCAAACGTTGGGGCTCGGGCTTTTCTGACTGGCCAAGGTCACCCCAGCTAGGAAGTGGCCGCGTCGGGATCTGCACTCCGGGGCGCACTTCAACCCCCGCCCCCGCCCGCCCGCCCGCGCGCGGCACCCTACCTTCCCGCTTCCCCACGCCCGCGGGCCCCTCGGAGAGCCGGGCTGTTCCCGGATGACGCACTCGGGGGGCCGCACGCCCGGCAGGGAGCCGGCTGACGTCCGCCGGCCGCGCTCGGGACGAGGTCCGGCCCGGGAGGGAGGACCGGCTGGGGGCTGGGCTTCCAGGCGACTGGCGGGCGTGAGAGGGGGAGGAGCCGGGTTCTGGGCCAACGGAGGGCGAGGATGGTGCTTGACAGGCAGGGCCAGGCCGGCGTCTGATAGGCTGGGGCCGGGCCCTGGAGACGGAGGGGCCTCGGTGTGAGGGGCGGGTCGTGCGTCGCGTCTTCCGCCCCGGCCCCGGCGCCGCTCAGTCCCTCCCGCGCCTGTCACTGGGCCGCCGGCGCCGCCGCTCCCTCGCTCCGCCGGCCGCGCTCCTCCGTCCCGGCCGCCCGGCCGCAGCCATGCGCCTGCTCCGCCCGCGGGGAGTCCATTGCCCTCGGGACTAGTCCCGCCGCCGGACCCGCCGCGCCATGGAGTCGCCCGCCCCGAGCCCGCCCGCCGGCGCGCCCCCGGCCAAAGGTAGGCGCCGCGGCCCGCCGCTGGCTTCCGCCCAGTGCGGCCCGGGCGCGAGTCCCGAGCGTCCGCGATCCCTCCGGCCCGGCCCGGCCCCACTCCGGCCGGGGGCCTCCCTGCACCCCGATGCAGGCCTCGGTTCTGCACCCAGGCCCAGGCTCCGGCAGGATCGCCTCTTACACCCCCACACCCGCTGCAGGTCGGGGACGTCACTCCGACCTTCTTTAGACGGAACTGCCCCGACAGGAACTGCCCCAGCCTGGGCGCCCCAGCTCCTGCGCCAGCCCCGTCCGCCCCTGGGTCCAGGGCTGTGTCCAGGCTGATCCGACGGCTGTCCCTCGGGCCCCAGCGGGGCTCCCTGCTGGCGATCTCGCTGTACTGTTGCGCCCCTCCCCATTCCTCCCCCCCCCCCCCCCCCGGGCTGCCCTGACCATACTCCAGCCAGAACGCCCATCCTCTGCCCCACTCTCGCCATCCGTGTAGGCCCCACTGCCCCGTCCCTGGCTATCTTGCGTCCTGTCCTGCATCCCTGTGTCCTGGGAACCTCTCCTGGGTCCCCAGCCTCCCTGACCACAACCCCCTCTTCCTCGTGCCGTGCATGCTTCTCTGTGCATGGGGAGCTCCCCTCCACCCCAGGCCCCAGGATCTCTAGAGCTGGCTGCTGCCAGCCCAGCCCCTGCTCTCTGGGGTGCTGGGCAGCTGCCAGCCCAGGGTGTTGGCTGTGCAGTGGGCTTGCTCTTGTCTTCTCCAAGGAGCCGGCTTCCTGGAAAGTTTTGGGAGGTGGTGACTGCCGTGGCAGCAGGATTTGTCATGTGTGTGTGTGGAGGGGGGCGGGGGGGGGGGGTGAGCTGGAGGGTGAGAGGGGGATTTTTCTGCAGGAAGAGGAACGTCTGTTTTTGGCATGTCGGTGTCTCAGCAGGCTGGGTTGTGTGGGAGATTTCCAAACTGGATGTAGCTGTAACGAGTGAGCTGCCTCCCTCCAGCAGCAGGAATGCCACTGGGCCTCAGTTTCCTTATCTGTAAAATGGGTGTAATCACACCTCCCTTCTCGGTACTCTGGAGCATCATGTGACATAGTGAATACTAACACGTTTTAAGCAAGAGTGGGCGATGAGACCATAGCGTGGTGTCTGGTGCACAGTAGGTACTTAGGAAGGAATGGTTGCTGTGCCATCTGTCTTATTACCATTGTGACCTTTTTCTTTTTTTCTAGAAAGGGCTCAGCCTGTGGGGTCGAGGCCTTGCCTCTGCTTGGGCTGAGCTGCAGAGTTGTAGGTGGGGAAGACAGGGAGCCACTGGCACTGGGTGGGCCTCTTTCCCCTGGAGGGGCCCAGGCAGGGGGAGGGTATGCAGAGTCCAGGAGGGGCTGTGGTGGCTGGGAGCCAGGGCCCAGCCGGAGGTGGGCAGGGTAATTGCCTCTTACGTAAGCGGGAGTTGGATCCCTGACCATTGCCCAACCTCCGTGAGTAACTCCGGAGGCACTCGAGGGGGTGGTGGCTGGGAGGGACTTGCGCTGCAAACCGTGTGGAACTCAGGATCCAGGAAGCCAGAAGCTTCTCCACCCGGAGAACTGGGACATGAGACACTTCTCTCCAGCGCGGGGCCCAGGTCTGGCTTGGTCAGGACAGGGGGACTCAGGACAGTCCCCCGTGTCACATTGACATAGTGGTTCGTGGGCGGAAGGAAGAGGTTGGGAGCAGTGGTTGTTGGCGGCCCTTTCAGATCTTCCCGGCAGGGAATGCATCATCAAATCAGAGTTAAAGGCGCAGCTGTGACAGGAAAAACCCTGCGGGGAGGCAGTGCGGGATCCCGTGCTGTGCGACTTCAGCCCTGGCATTGCCCTCCCTGAGCCTCTGTGGAGAGGACTTTTCAGGGTGTGAGTTCAGGTAGCAGATGATGTTGGGGGGGTTAGATGGAAGGCCTTCCCCAGCGCCCAGGGGCCCTGCCAGCCCTTCTGGGGTCTGTGAAAGGATGTGGGGGGGAAGCTACATGCCCCCTCACCAACATCCCCAAAGCTCCAATTCCCCGAGCTGTTCTCCCTGTGCCAGCAGCTCTTCCATTTATCCTTCATGGCCCCAGTTACAGGTGAGGAGACTCAGGCGTTGAGGGCCGGGCCCGAGGTCGCAGCTGTGACAGATGGAGCTCAGGTTCTGCCTGCTCCAGAGGCCTCCCCAGGGCTCCTCTCCTCCTGTGCTGGGTGCTTGAGCTGAGCTGGGGGACACTCCCCTCACCAGTCATATCTGTCCAGCGGGTGTCTCCTCCAGGCCATGCCCACCCTGGAGGTGGCTAAGCCAGAGGTGATGCCTCTTTTGTGCACAGCCCTTCACAGCCGGCACGTTTCTTACTCACTGCCGTCCCGCCCATTGGACAGATGGCCAAACCGAGGTCAGCTCGGGGTGTGTGGCTAGGCCGAGCCCACAGAGCTGCGTCCCCCCTCTCCTGGGCACAGGCCCCAGTGTGGTGCTCCTGGCTCCTCAAAGGGATTTGACCGATACAGGGTGTGGCTGGCACTTGGCCTTGGCCTCTGAGCTGCCTGCCCTGCAGGGGCGCCCGGCCTCCTCGCCAGCAGACTTCTCCGAGAGGGTGTGAGGCCCGGCTCCCTGCGGGGCTTCCTCACCCACGTGCCACCTTTGGCTGGAGTCAGAAGCCAGAGGCAGCTGGCACTGGGCCAGTGGCAGGAGCACGTTCTGTCTGCGTGGTCCTGGTTTGCTGCCTTAGTTACATGTGTCCTTGGTGCCACACATCCTGCCCCTCTCCCTCCGCGCCCTGAGGGCCCCCACCGGGCACTCCATGGTTGATCTTCGTGCCCCCTTCCCCTCCCTCCCCCCCACGCCAGGTGCACTGAGGATGCAGGGAGCATGTCTGTGTCCTGCCCTGTGTTCTGGGGCCTCCACCCCCGTCGTGTCGTGTGCCTTTCCAGCCGTTGGAAGACAGGAGGGTGGCACCTTGGGGACTTCCTCCGCCCCTGGTGTGACGCACAGGAAACTCTCAGCCAGCCTGGCCTGGGGCCTGAAGGGAGCAAAGTTCTCAGTTGCCTGTGTGGGGACAGAGCCAGGGCCACGGGAGCTTCCGGTGGGTGAGTCAGCGGGCACTGGGCACTGACTCACCTGCCGGGCATGCCATCCCGCTGGGTGCTGCCATCTGGGGGAGACTGAGCCCAGCCTCGCAGGCCAGCTGCTGGCTCTGAGCTGGGCAAGGGGGTGGCTCCCTTCTTGGACCTCAGGTTGGGCGGGGACCCCCCCACCCCTCCTGGCGCTGTGCTAGCCCCGCCCGGGAACCTCCTCTGTTAGGCAAGTGCCCTGCTTCCTCTTGCTCATGGAGCAGGAGCAGGTGGTGGCACCTCTGCAAGGGCCCGGGGGCTCTCAGGCCAGACGCACTGCTGGGGGCCCTGGGGGCTGAGGAGCAAGGCGTGCGGGTCGGCCTGAGCTCGGGGAGACGCATGTGGAGAGGGAAGGTGCCGCAGCCAAAGCTCAGCTCAGCCCCTTTCACTGTGGGGCGTGGGCCACGGAGTGTCCGGTGCCTTCACTGCACTGCCCCCTGGGCCCACCTCTGTGAGGAGAGGCTGTTTCCTCCCCTGCAGAATGGGAGTGGGGACCCCGCCTGCCGGTCTTGCTGGCAGCCACACAGATGGCTGCAGACGTTCACTTTCTTCTCGCTGAGTGTCAAGCACGGGACACAGCCAGTCTGTCCTCTCCCTGTAGAGAGCCTGGACGGCGGGCAGAGCCCAAGCTTGGGGGTAAGAACGAGCCTGTGCTTCCAATTCTGATTGGTTCCCTTGCTTTCTGACTTCCTCACATGGCCTCTCTGACCCGCCATCTCCTCTTCGGTGAAGTGAGGTGAGCACCCTCCCTCCCTTGCAGGGTGGTGATAAAGATTCCAGGTCATCTGTCACAGGAACGGAACGGCACCTGTGGTGACTTCCTTCCTGCAGCCGCTTGTTGGTGGTGAGCACACAGGGCTGGGCCTTCTGGCGGTGGGCTTGGCAGGCGGTGACCCATGGATGGTCGGGTGCAGGGTCCGGGGATGCAGCCAGAGGTGCAGGCTCTTTCGCACTGGTCCCCAAGCTGGCGCTGGGGCTCCCGTTGCCTCCTGGGTCTTCTTGGGAAGGGCCCTGGGAGCAGAGAGCAGCGGGTGCACAGGTCTGCCTCTCCCGGAGCATGTAGGGGAGGGCTGGGGTGGGGCACTCAGGAGGACAGCCTCCGAGGCCGGCCTCGCCGTTGGTAGAACAGAGCTCTCTCTGCCCGGGGAACAGAAGGAGGTACTGGGGATAGTAGTTCCGAAAGCCAGACCAAGGCCAGGTGTGCCAGGCGTCCTGAGGGACGTAGGGCCAGGCTGGCCGCAGAGGAGAGCGCTGGGGGCAGCATGAGGACACCCCTGGAGCCCCTCCCCGCAGGGTGCTGACTGTGGTCTCACAGCGTGGGGAAGCTCATCCCTAGGAAGTTGGTATTGGCCTCGTCTTGCTGACCATAGTGGAGGGGGCAGCACTGAGCTGTGGGATCTGAGTTGAGGTGAATGCAACATCAACAACAACAACAACAAACCCGAAACAAGAACACAACACCACCCGGGGTCCTTTCCACCGTGAAAATCATGAGCCCATGTCTGCCTTCCATCTCATCTTCCTGTATTTGGCATCTGGTTTCACATTTACATGTTCAGTCATCGTGACCGGTTGGACTATATAGAAAAGCCCACAGGACAAGCATCGAAGGACCCATAACAGCAAGCAGGTCAGGAAGGGCAAGCAGTGGGTGCTGAGGTCAGTGCCGAGCCACAGCTGCCCAGGCCTTGCTGATGTCGGGGACGGCTCCACCTGTGACGCCCATGGCTTCTCGTCCGCGAGGAGCCTGATGTCCATGGTAGCGGAGGCGAGTGTCAGATATCCATTGTGAGGAGGTGCCTGCTCACTTCCAATGAGGTTGGACAGTGTATTTCACTTGATAACAGGCGGCAGTCCATGGGTTTTAGCCTTTCTGCCCTTGAGCTCGCTGAGATGAGGCAGCTACTCCTGGGCATGTTCTGGAAGTGCCTCTACCACACCTGGGCCGTGGCGCAGGTCTCCTCTCGGGAACGCCAGCCAGCAGTCCTTCTCTCTGACTTCAGTCCCGCATGAGCGCATGGAGGAGTGCGAACACCGGGAATGGGAGCCGGGAATGGGAGCCGGGCAGCGGGGAGCATGGAGCGGCTGCCTGGGTTTCCCATGGTCCTGACGATTTGTCGTTATTGTTGTCTTATCACTTAACCTTTAGAAGCGTATTTCATAGACATCAAAGTCAGTTATTAACATGGACTTATTTTTGTAAAATCCAAGCAAATAGAGACATGTATCTTTTACTTAAACCAACAGACAAGCTAGCTTTTATTTCCCAAGGATTAATCTTAGATTGCATGAATATGAAAAGTATTTGAGTTTATGTATCTGTTTCTGAGAATTTTAGAATACCCAATCTTACAAGCACTGCCTTTACATTCATTTTACAATGTCATCCAGAGGGATAAAGTGCTTTCTGTTCACAGCACATGTGTACACACACACAGACACAGCAGAGGACAGTGGGATCCAAATTCTGTTTTGGAGGAATTTACAATTTATATCTGTCCTTGGCAAGTTAAGTTCCAAATGACCTTCCCCCTTTTAAAGTAAGAATACCATTTTTAATACCTCTAAGAATTGGGTTGACACCTAAAAGACATAGATTGATTCATTTATTTACTTTAGTGCTCTCTCTCTTTTGGGAAATTCTTTTATATAGTTTTACTTTAGGTTAAAAGAGAAGGTCTGTTTAAGTCTGAGATAGCCTCTAATAGTTTCTTTTTTGGGGGGTCCCTGGTCTTTAATGGGGTGCACACTGGGGACAAGCTGTCCAGAGAAGGCATTAGGGAGGCGAGGTCTCTACAGCACGAGAGTGGAGGGCAGCAGGGCAGGTTGGAGGTGACAGTCCCCACCAGAGCAGAGTAGGGTTTCAGCTCACCCCTGCCACCAGGCCTGGGCCCAGTGGGTATGCTGTGGGAGAAGCTAGCGATTTGCTGCCCCCTGGTGGCCTCATTGGCAAGGATGGCTACCTCCCCAGAGGGGTTGCCCCCACCCTCATACTGGACTCATGAGAGCTGGTTCCAACCCCTGTCCCACTCTGGGCCTTGGTTTCCCCGCTGACACTGGTGAGGAGCACGCACCGCCTACTCCAGAGCCTTCACCAGGGCTCCGTTGGCCTCGGTTCAGATTTGGATATCAGCCCTCATGGCCTCGCCGGATGCCCTGACAGCTCGATTGTGCCTTCTCCAAGTTTGCCTTGGCCGCCCCCAAATCCAGCATGTCCAGCGGCACAGCCTCTTCAGCCAGTAACTGAACTGATGAGTCAGCGTTCACTGTGCCCGAGCCGCTGCTAACGAAGTATTTGGAGGTGGTGCCATCCTCAGCATGAACAACAACCAACCCTGGCCGCAGGACCTGCAGGGTGGGCACGTGGGCTGCCAGGATACTGAAGGCTCCTGTCTGCGTGGGCACATCCACCTGCTGGACGATGGCGCCATTGAAGAAGACCTGTGTGGGAGAGGCGAAGGTGACAGACATTTGTCCCGGGCCCACGGCAGGGGCTGGGGCGGCCGTGGCCTTGGCGTAGGCGCGAGCCTGGCGCACGAGGCGACCCAGGCCAGGGCGGCGGAGCAGCGCAGCGGGCAGCATAGCAGCAGCAGCACGGAGAGGACGGTGGTCAGACTCGGGTGGTAGGCGGGCAGCCTGGAGGGCGAGGAGGACGATGCGCCTCTAATGGTTTCTTTTCATTCATTCTGTCTGATGTTGGCTGACTTTTTCTAGTTGTGTGTGCAACGTAGAAGCATCAGGGACCCTCAGCTCAGCCGCCTCAGTGCTACGGGAGGCTCACTGTCGGGGCCTTGTCCACTGGGAGACATGATTTCTGTGTTAATTCTGAGACCTGTAGAGTCTAAACCAGGAGTGGGCAAACTTTTTGACTCGAGGGCCACAATGGGTTCTTAAACTGGACCGGAGGGCCGGAACAAAAGCATGGATGGAGTGTTTGTGTGAACTAATATAAATTCAAAGTAAACATCATTACATAAAAGGGTACGGCCTTTTTTTTTTTTTTAGTTTTATTCATTTCAAACGGGCCGG